AGTCTTCTGCAGGTTCCTTATAAATGGGGTTTAGTGCTCTTCTGAAAGAACACTAGACCTGGTTGTTGTTTTTTAAGGGACTTCTGCTTTTTGGAAAAAGTGTTAGTTTTACACTGCACAAAATGTCAATTTAAATAGGAAAAGAGAACCAAGTCCTGTCAACTGTGTGTTGCTGATTCTGTAATAAACACATCACAGATTTCCCACTGCTTCTGCTGACAAGGGCAATGCGGGGCCTTTGTACTGCTTTCATTACCTGGGGGGTAGGGGGAAACAGTAACCATTTGCCTACCCCATTCCAGCTTTGGCAGCACCAGTGCCCGGGTGATCACTGGCAAGTGACAATTGTGTGTTCTCCACAGCCATCCACTGGCAATTTCTAGGTGCCATCCACTGTGAGATCAGAACTGGACCCTCAACCCCTCACTGCCAGCCATTCTCTCCCAGCGCCAATCCTCCCGCCCACTTCACCCCATGCTTCTCCATGTTTGGTATATGTGAGCTAGCTTGGAATATGGGTTTAGCACTCTTTCAAAAGAGTGCTAGACTCATGTTCAAAAATAACTCAACTGATCACAGGCATGGAGGAAGAGCGTGTGAAGCAGCAGCCTACGAGAGACCCCTTTCCACTTTCCTATCCTCCATTCTTGTGACTTATTCACAGGTGCATAAACGTGGGGGCTTAGCCTGTCATGATAAGCACCTACCCTCACTCAAGCCAACCCCACCCCACCCTGCTTGTGGTAGGCAGAATTATAGGTGATTGTTTTCCTAATAACAGGTGGAAAAGGAGACAAAAGTGGGGGGAATCCACCATTTCCTTTCCTTAACTTGCATGAGGTATGTAAGGATAACCTCCTTTCCAGCCCTGTTACTATTGTAGAGCAGGGAACACCAGTGAAGGCAGCACAATTTATGCCCACACTCTTTTATGTCTCCTGAAGGACTGCTGCAGAGCACTTTGACACAGCTGGCTGATCTCTCTTTTCAGCAGCCTTCCCTGGCTCTTATTCTGACTGTCAGCCAGAGAGCCCTGTTTTCATGATTAAGGGCATCAGAGATATTCAGAAACACCTTGGAAAGCTTCAGGGACATGAGCCATGCAATTATTGTAATTTGGGGGGTGGGAGCAGGGGACTCTGTTGCTTTACCTCCAACACAATGATCAGTTATGAGGCTTGACAAGGGGAAAATGGAGTTGTGGTTCCAGAGTGTTAGATACTTAGCACCACAATCGGGATTTGTCCTATGATGGATGGTAAGAAAAATAAGACTCTGTTCCGGACAGCCAGACCCACCACAGGGCTCCTTCATCAGTGCTTCCAATTAAAGCCAAGTTTCCGATGCCCTTTTAAAATGCCTTCTAGCTGGAAGCCCCTCACTGTTTCCTGAGGATAAGAATGGTTTCAAGCATTAAGCCAGACTGGTACAATGGCTCAACGGTGGACAATTAGCCATGTATCATGAGATGGTGGTTTGACTTTCTTTCATCTAAAAAGGGCCGCCTGTGATTCACTGCAATGACCTTGAGCTACTGCGGGCGGGCGCAGCCTTCAGCTGTAGCTGCTTCCCTTGGAGAATTCTTCCGAAGTCTCACTCACATCCTTCCCAGCTCCCTACCGCATCCTTGCATTTCAACCTAAGCCAGGCCAACCTTCATCCAGATGTAAATCAAGCCCTAAGGCCTAACTGGATGGGAATTCTGGGAACTGTAACATTCATACCACAGAGGAGCATCAAGGTGGAGACATCGGACCTAAGTCAGGGGTGGGTGAGACACCCCAGCAGACCCTGGACAGCAGATGTCTCCCAAGCCTGTTTATGGCCCCTAGAACCTTCTGACCATTGTTGCTGAAAATAGACTGCATGATGTCTATTTGAAGGTAGAAAAGATGCAGAAAGTTCAGTGTAAGTTCTGCACACTATAAACACAGGACTATCCTGCAAAGTTCTCTCCCAAAACCAGGAAAATGGAAACTCCTAGTTCTATCCCCACCTCTTTGCAACATTGCCTCTCTCATTATAGCCACATACCCCCATTAAATGCTTATCTTCACCTTTAAAATTCCTCCATCTATCCTATTACTTGTAGTCCCAGGCCACCTAATGGCTGCTAGGCTGAGAAAGGTTGCGCCAGACAGAAAAGATGATCAGCTGAGCAATTTCTGGGAGAATGCTAGGAAATCTACAGTTAACAGTGAGCCTCAGATAACCCATTTGGTCTGTATTTATTGCAATTTCATTGCCCAACATGAAATTCAACTTGGTGGGAATGCGTTCTAGGGAGGTTGATACAGAAAGGCAAAACAGCTTTTTCATGACAAGTGAGTGCCTAAAGGAAATGCTGAGTGTGGACAGTGATAACTTCTATTCAATAATACATTTTTTTTTCAAGTACACATAATGCTACAGCTACAGGTCCCACAATTAGCAGGAGGATGTATTAATACACAAGTTGCAGGCTGGGTACAAAACAGGTCCATATAAGTGCAGGAGAGCATCACAAGAGGAAGTTGGAAGATTCAGGTCTGGCTCTGGAACCATCCATGTCCATTTTTCCTAAGAGTGGACCAGACAATATGGCTTTTTAGTATTTAAGACAACAGGAAAAAAGCAGCTGGGACTTCAAGCTCATTGAACAGATGCAAGAGAATACTGAACATGCATCAGCTGGACAGTTTGTAACTGAGTCTTATCTATGCCATAAGTATTATTACAGTGAGAGGCGCAGTGCTTGTTTTCATCTTTATGGCATCTCTCTGAGGATGGCTCTTTTTTTTTTTTCCCTGATTTTTGAAAACAAAAATGTGAAGCTCATCAATGATAGTCAAAGTCTTCTGCAAATGGCCAACAAATCAGGATGTAAGTATTTTGAGAGGTCTTTGGATATGGGTGGGGATGAACACTCCTAAAAGCATCAAGATGATCACTCTCTCATCTAAGAGTCTCCTCATTGGCAATCGCTCAAAGTATAGGTCAAAACTCCACATCCCCAACTGTGGACCACATGTCTTCAGCCATCTGTCAATGATCCATAATGGTCACTCCCTCTTTTCTTGGCTTCAATGGCGATCACAAACTCTTGCTATCTTCATGGATCATGTGTATCTTGATGCTTGCAATACATTTTTGCCTGGGCTATGCCCCAGTGGTGACTTTTCCCTCTGTGCCTCCTAGAATTGACCATGGCATGGATTGTTTGAGAAGAAGACAGCCTAAGTAACGTCAGAAGAGGATACCTCCTCCTCCTAAAAATCCTCTTTTCCTCTAGCTGATGATGCATTTTCAGTCGGTACTATAAAGAAACTTCTAGTGGGTGCAGTTCTCAGTGGACGGGAATGACTGTTCCCCAATCTGTACTTTACATTAACTCCAGTAAAATGGACATCTATCAATAATTGAGCTATTGTCATGCATTGATATGGCTATAGTGCACAACAATTCCAGCAGCTATATATTTTCTACATTTGATTAATTATATCCTTGTCCCTGTTCATGGGGCAGAGGAAGTACATATTTGGTTCTGGAAAACAACATTCAGATGGAACCAGTTCAGTCAAAGACAGCAGCATAAGCCTCCATTGTGTAGAAATATTGCCCAGCAGAGTATTACAATACTGTCCGATGGATTAAATTAACATTAGCAGCACTTTCTCTTTCTCTCTTACTACTGTAGGTTCCATTACTGGAATTAAAATATCCATGGGAAACTGGAAGCTTTCTGCTTTCTTTTAGATCGTCAGTGAGAATGAAACAGGACGTTTATTCAGTGTGTGTGTGTGTGTGTGTGTGTGTGTGTGTACATGCATACTTCAGAACAATATGTGTATTTGTTTGCATGTACATATATATAATATATATAATGCAAATACAGGCCAGATTTTTTCAAACTGAATTACAAAATCTAAATGACCTGAGTAAAGGGTTGGACTGAATGGCCTTTGATTCCTCCAATTCCATAAAAAAGAAAGGAATTTGTTTATTCTGAGACAATATGAGAAGTGGCTGAGCATGTCTCCCTGAAAATATAGGCAGGGCCACTTTAGGGTCCCTAAGTATGACTCCATCTTCTACCCAATGCTGACTTCTTTCCAAAAAAAATAATCTGCACCCTTGATGGTCTGGTGGTTCAACTGCAGATCTAGCACCTGGGGCATCCAGGTTCAAATTTGTCCTCACCCATGGAAATGTATGGGGGGACTTGAGGCCAGTGATTCTATCTAAGCCCAACCTAAAACAAAGGATTGTTGTGGTTGGGAAAAATTGGAAGGAGTGTTATGTATTCCACCTTGCTCTTGGAGAAAGGAGAATATATATAACAAATAAATTCGACTTTATTTTGTAAACATTCCCAAGGCCTAGTTGCTGTTGGGATAAGTTTGGAGGGAGAGAGAGAGAGCGGGAGAGAGAGAGAGAGAGAGAGAGAGAGAGAGAGAGAGAGAATAGACAGAGAGAAATTAGATAGAGAGAAGGAAGATAGATAGATAGATAGATAGATAGATAGATAGATAGATAGATAGATAGA